TCAAGCCCTGGGGGCTGCCATGTTTGTTTTTGGAGGATGCTCACGCACACAATTGCTTCATATTTGGAATTTGCATTTTCTAATATGGTAGGATGAAATTACCGCAAAATGCAATACCGCAAAATTAAGGCACACTGTAACTTATGGCATTACGATGACAGATGTATAATAATGAGTTATAATATCATGACATCACTCGCATAAACCAGCTAGCTCTATGAACAAAAGTGATATGAGGTGATAACCACATATATGTATTATCACAAGTGTCGTACACATTCCATGAGATAATTTTGACATCATTCACCCAATATCACACACTTTAGCAGCAATTTGATTGGTCCTTTAGGCAATTTGAGATATGAGGTCAGCGATATAGATATATATCGGTATTTTTGTAATATGATTTGAAAATAATCATAGGAGTATTTCCACACAGTTTTGAAAAATTAGTTAAATTCGTTTAATACGCAGACTTCGCCATTTCTAATTCTCCCAACTTCATTTGGCAACACACTGAATGCCCCCCATACCATTTCTTGGATGGATTGCTGATATACCTCAAAATCATGTGAAAAAATGTGACAATGTGTCACTGAAACAGTAAATAACTATTTTTTTTAGATTTTCAATTGCAGGTGATAAAAGTCTGAGAGTAAAACTAAAGCTAGAAGCTTTGGCATGGCAGTAAACACAATTTAATGTTAGTTTCTGTTGACAAAAAGCAGTGAAACAGATACAAGTGACAAAATGCCAAGATCCATGATATTAGATTTATTGAACTTGCATCGTGATACTCATATGTTCCAAGCTATTGAGAGAAAAGAACTACACTCAATTGATAAAAATGATACCATGGTTCACTCATCAGATATCCTCTAAATATCATACCTGCTTCCTGTATGGTTTGGGCTACCAGGTGACAGGAACGCCCACTCAGGATTTCATGCTGCTTTCTATAGGATGGTTCACAGCCTTCAGTAAACATACCTGTAATGGAAAACACTATAATTAAAGAGAAGAGATACAGGAATACCAAACACCTTGCTATTTTCATATACCACTCTGATAGAATATCAAGTCCTAAACATCACATTATTTGTTAATGTGGCTTCACTTGATGATATCATATAGAAATGCAAAGAATCGCATTGTTATCATATTTTTCATGTAGATAGTATCCATATAGTTTCTCTATACTAAATATTCCTTACACATATAGTATACTATAGTAGTAGTGCATGTGATTACACAAATTACAGATCTGAATTATTCTTGTGTGGTCACATTCACATTATAACTACTGTTGTTTTATTTATCTTTGTTATTCATCTTATTTCTACCGATACTCTTTATTCAAACAATCACAAGTATTCATGTATACACGCTTGCAACTATCACAACTTTTCAAAACTAGAACCCCTGCTAAAACTCTGACCTGAGTGCATGTGTGTAAACTTTTGAATGTGGTTAGATTTTAGCCCTAAATAATTCCCTGTATTCAACAGCTAATAGTAGCTAATGTGATCAAAGGCAACTGGCTAATATCATACTTCTGGTCTCTCACTTACCAAGCTGATCTAACGTAGTTAAAAGATTAATAACACGTTTTGATGGTGGTAGAGTAAGACATTTCTTTTGATGAAGTCTAGCATAACTGAGTGTCCAAATCAACCGCCAGGCATCGTCATCACGGGCATCAGCACAGTTTCTTTTCAAATATTTCTCAGCAACACCAAAGTTATTCTGCAAAATGTGGTGAAAAAAACACATTTGAATCATGTTGTTCTCATCAATTAAGTGTCAAAAACAACATTAATATACAATAAATAGGTTTAAATTCAAAAATGAATATAAAAACAAAATTTGTTTACTTGTTGTGAAACACTGTCTACCAACTTTAACTCCATTAATAGTTTATCCTTTGAGATAGCGTTCACCATTGCTTGGCCGTCATCACCTTCCATGGCATCCCCTGATTTTTGGAAAAGTTTACGAAGATAGAAAACCCTGAAAGAGAGATGCAATCATTTTGATTGAAAACATTGAAAGTATATGAGGTTATCACGAGGATACCTCAAAATATGCACAAACAGTACAGCGGGAATATCGACCAACACGCAGCGGAGGTTGATGCGACGGCATAATGTCTGAGTGCATACTTTGAGGTATCCTCATAATAACCTTATTATTATTATCTTTTCCTTCTAAGGATACACCATGGGAATGCCGAAATTCAAAAAGTTTAGAACATAATCAGCGAACTTCTTTGTGTGGAGTCCGGTCAAACCCTGGTGTTCATATTATTAGAGGACGCTTATGCGCGTAATCATTCCATATTTGGAATTCACATTTCCTTATATGGTAGAATGAAGATACTCTGTAAAATTACACCACGCTGTAACTTATGGCGTTACAGTGACCGATGTATAATAATATTCACAACTCTCAAGTAATTTTTGTGAATATGCTCTACATTAAACTTGAAATGTCCAAGTATATAGAGGATAATAATTTGCACAAAATATGTGTTCAAAAAAACAGATTGTAGGTACCTGTTTGTAATTACATCATCCCATGTGTTAGTACTGTCACGTTTCACATCTGGTAATCTCTTAGTCCATTTACTGATCAAATCAGATACAGGCTTGTGTTCATCAAAATTTCCTAAAAAATATTAGACGATATACAATATTGCAGAGCAAAATCTTATTATGGCAAAATCAATCTAGAAAGAATATTTGAATATATTGAATTAGGCGAGGGTTCTTCGAACCCGCCTATTCACATAGTTCATACCCACCATAGACTCCGGTCAGTCAATATGACCATTTTGAACTGTAGGCATTAATCAGCGATTCTGCCGGTGACGGAGAGATAGAATCTAGGTCAGGGGAAGCCCCATGACCTCAAGATTCTTTTACCCCTTACGTCACGAACCCACGTGACCGAGGCCACATGGCAACGCCATAGGCAGCCGTCCATCACTCTGGTTCCTTTCTCTCCGCCTCGA